GAATTAGCTACTCTTGTCACAGCTGGCAAGGGAAAAAAAAAAACCTTTCCATGGAGCCCATGGCTCCCTTAAAGAGCACACTTTATTTCCACCGGAGGAACGCTATCAAGCAAAAAGTGGTTCAACACTGGCATCCTGTGGCCAGAAAGATTAATCAAATATCAGTTCTGCAGGAGTCTGATTTTCAGGCTCTGAACATTCTCTCACTTTCCAAGTCAATCACAGCTCTCTGCTACTTCCTAATGGTGGTCAGTGAAATCTCACTGCTGGCAGAGGTCTATTAGGTATATTGGGTACAACCTCATTGGAGGCTCTGTGTCCCTTTAAAGTGGCTGAGAGAAAGTTCATACAATCTGCCAGCTTTAAAGATGCCCATCTCCAGCCAAGAAATGAGAGCCTGTAGTAGGAAAAAGGGCTATGTTCTAACACAGCAGGTAATGTCAAAAGCCTTGTTGAGCTCACTTGTGTTTCCTCTCCGAAAAAGCTTTGCAGCAGGTTTTATTCGTAAGACCCAGAATACATATGTACACATATACGTGTGTGAATATGTGCATAAGTATATATTTATATACACATATACATGTATCCATGCATGTGTTTATGTACATGTGTGTATGCATGTTTTTGTTAGGCCCACAATAAATATTATTAATTTCCTATATTTTACTGCAAAGTACATGAGAGGTTGGGTAGAGAATAACACAAAATCAGGGGAAGTCATTACTTGTTGGCATTCTCTCACAAGGAAGCTATAAAGATAATGACTGATAAGATGTTGGTTTAAAGTCAGAGTATCCCCAGATATTCAGGAGGTTCTGCCACTATTTCATTTTCAAAATCACCCACTACCATATTGCCAGTAAAATTCAGGAAGGATGAGAGCTAACTGTGGAGGTCATGCATGTATTCAAAGATCAATGAGGAGGAAAACAATGCTACAAAGAGCTTAGAAAAGGAGGAATGAGTGGGCAAGAAAGAAGGAAACGAGAATCAACTGAGGAAACTGCAAAAGCTGGTATTAGAAAAGAAGAGGTGTGAAATGCAGAAGTCACCTTCAGGAGAAAGAGCAGGAAAGTCTGCTTGGCTTACAGACTGTAAACCAGGCAGGCAGAAGAGGGAGAAATGCACCTCCTAATCCTTAACAGGGGGCAAGTTTCTCTTTTCATTATCTCATCATGAGATAAAATACATAAATAACTCCATAAATCTTAAGCCAGGCTATAAATGCCAGTTGTTTTCCCTCATACTTCCTCTAAGATGAGAGATTCTTTATATGTGTATATATATATATATACATATATATATATATATACACATATATATACACACATACATACATATACAGAGAGAGAACAGAGAAAGAGAAATAGAGAAGAAAGAGAAAGAGAGAAGAAAGGACAGAGAGACAGAGGAGAGGAGAGAGACAGAAATAGCAAGAATTAAGGGAATCTTAGATAGATAGGAATGAATATATAAGAATCCCTTGATTCTTATATGAATATGAACTTCATATATATATATATATATGTGAATCCCTTGATATATTATATCTATTATATATTATATCTATTGTAATATATTATATTATATATTATAATATAATATATTATACATATATAATATATTATAATATATTATATAATATCTATTATGTATAAACATTCCACATATATAAATGAAGGAATTGTTATATGTTTGCATATAATACATATATACACAGGTATACATACATGTATATATGAACTGCATGTACATATACAATATGCATGTATAGTCTGAGAACTACATGTTAATATAAGAGGTTTCCTGTGTAATCTTATGTTATTTTATTTTATGTGCTAAAAACATTATTCTGGAAGGGTTTCACAGGTTTCACCAGATTGCCAAAGGGCTCCAAGGTACACACAAAAACCCAGCCCTAGGACAACTTTCAGGGCACTACAGATTTCTCTCTAAATTAAAAACAACAACAAAGCATTTATTAAATATCTACTATGTCTTAAAATGAAAATCAGACCCTTCCCTCAAGAATTAGCAATAATTATGCTACCTTTATGTTTTTGACTATGATTTTATGCCTTATTCTGTACTCAACAAGCCTTTATTAAGCACCTATTCCATGTCAGGCACTGGGTTGGGTGCTAGTGTGCCGGTCGCACAATCGCCGATCAGACAATCCCTCACATGATAGAAATGTCTTAATTTTTTCACAGTGCTCCAGGATGTCATCTTACAGAGGAAAAGAGGGCATTTCATTTAAGGAATGTACCAGAGCTCACCCTGGCAAGAGCTAAGTTGAGAAAGGGGACACTAAGGAAGCTCTGGTGATTTGCCTTCCACACTATCCTAATGTTCACTGTTCATCTAGACCCTTTTTTGATTTTATGAACAGCCTAAAAAAATGTACTAAATAAAATTTCAAGGGAAATATTTTGACTGGGCTAAGAATACTTGCTAACTAACCTGTTAGAAAAAAAATTAATCTAATTCTTCAAAATTTTTGGAAACAGAGTCTATCAAAATATTATTCAGAACAAAAATGAGTTATAAGTTCAGACTTTGATAGCAAAAAATAGAGACAGGATAAATGAATGCAAAATCTAGTTTGAGTAGACAGTGGGTCCTGGGTCTCCAATGCTAACACATAGCAAGTTCCCCCAGCTATCAGTGGTCTTCTTCAACCTTACATATGAATTTACATGCATTTTATATGTGGTTTAGATTTACTTATTAGTGTACATGATGTACCCTCCCAGTAGAATTAAGCTCTTTGAAGACAGAGGTTATCTCATTTCTGTCTTTGTACCCTCAGGTCTTAGCACAATACCTAATACATAGTAGATACTTGTTGCTGTGAACTGAATTGAAACCTAAATACTAATGCAAAAATGAAGGGGTCAAATCTGCCCATGACAGCTGGATTCTAAATAAGTTTCTATGACACCACATAGGATCCACTTTAACCTATTTATCATCTTTACCAGATCCTCCAACTTCAAGTTTAGCCCTTTTCCCTCCATGTTACAATCTGATATTGATACAACACAGTGCAACACACATACATGTCCTAGAGTGTGCCCATGTTCTATGCATGGCTGACAAGACAACAAACAGCGCCTCCTGTGTTAGGCACTGGGTTCAATGCAGAATATTGAGAAGACTGGGTCTGTGCTCTCAAAAAGTTACAGTAACAGTTGTACCCAGTTACAGTGAAAGAATTAAGCAAAGAAGCCATAGCTTTACAACCTACGGTAACAAAGTAGAGTCTTCATTCCCTTCCTCCCAAATAATTCAAGTTGTTTTTTTGCTTTTTATCTTTTTTTTGGGAGGGGGGGAGGAATTTTAGTCAACTTTTATTGAAAAGTCACCATGTACAAAATCCTACCTTGGGTTCTTTGAAATGCAGCATTTTGATTAAGCTGCCTTTATTCCCAATCCTGAACCACTGTAATTAAGTTACTTAAGGGATTGGAAAGTACAAGTAGGTCATTACATAGCTAATAACATTTTTTATCTAAAAATTCTTTAACAGGGCTTAATAGCTTTAAAATCTTAAAGAGCTATTCACTGCTTGAAGTAAGTGTTCTGGCAAGGCTCTTCCAACAGTGGTATCTGCCTAGCCTGAAAAGGGCTTAGTGACTTGAATTCAAATGCTTCTTGTCCTTCCAGAAATCACTCACTTTAAATAAGAGCAGCACTCAATTTAGAAACTGATTGTTCTGCAAAAGGTTTTGTTTTGTTTTGTTTTAAATGTGAGTTGTTTGTAACTCAGAATCAACTTTTCTTTGGAAGTATGGTGTCCACGCTCCCAGGCTAGACCACAAAAGCCTGTTAATCTATAATGTAGTACATGAAATGCGGTAGAGGAGAACTGAATCACCACGTGTAACAATTTTTCTTTGGACAAATACAGACTTCCTGTTTGGAATGCCTGAAATATAACTCTCCTTCCCCTCTTCTCCTGCACTGTAGTGGTTTTTGGTTTTGAAGACTTTCTCCTTCTGCCTTCTCCATCTATCAAGGAGGTAGAGATTGGGGTTCCAGAGGATGAGACAGAAATTTGGGGGAAGTGAAGAGAAGCAATATCTCCTGTCATTGTAAACCCCCTTTTTTGACAGGTTCCTAGGAAGATTTTCTTTTCTTCCACAGGCCCTAAGGATTAGCTTAGGATATATACTCTAGGATATATACTCAAGATTCTATACTCCACACTAGACTACTCCCTGGCAATTTTCTGAATAGATTCCATGCTTCTAGCCTCTGACCTTTCTTTATACCAGAGCTACCAAATAGGCAGCAGGCACCCTGCAACAATCCTAAAATCTGTTGGAATCAGATTAAAATGTAATTGGGAAATATTTAACAAAAAAATTAAAAATGCAATAAAATGTAGATAACATTACATTTGAAAACTAAGTCAATATGCTCCCCATAGGGATCCTCACTCATATAGGGTTTAGTGGCCCATTCTATATGAGTTTGACACCAAAGCATTAAACAATCCCCCAATGCCAAGCATAAACTAAAACCCATCCTTTTCTCTGCTTGACTTAAAACCCTTCCTTCATGGCCCAGTTTAAATACAATGGCTATAAAGCAGCCATTTCTATTAACACAGATGCTGACTCATGACAGACCTAAGGGAAGAGAAAACTAAGGCAAACAGGGTTAAGTGACTTGCCCAGGGTCACTCAGCTAGTAAGTGTCTGAGGCCACATTTGAACTCAGAAAGATGAGTCTTCCTGACTCAGCCTGGCACTCTATCCGCTGTACTACCTAGCTGCCCCATGCATAGATATAATAATGTATATGATGATTTCCATTAGACTTAAGCTCCTTGAGGGCAGGGGTGATGGTTTTATCTTGTCAAGGCAATGTAATTGCCATTTTAATTTGTGTTACTGTTTTAAGGAATACATATATCCCTACCAGTGAGGCTTTAACAATAACACGTATATATCCACCTCTCTTAAGCCCTTGCATGATGTCAGGAACATTACCTGCTATTCTCTGGAACCACTTCGGTTTCTTGTCCCAGACAATGAAGAAGTAGTATGCCGGGATACCAGTCAGCGTGATCCCAAAACCTATCCCAGTACTGAGCGGATCAGAATAAAGGGACAAGGCCACCATGAAAAGGCAGGTGAAGGAAAACAGAGCTGGGATAAACAGCGGCACCTGAAACAAAAGACAATGACAAAGGTCACTTTGAGCTGTCTTTGGATACTGACTAGCTCCAGAATGTAACAATACAAACAAATGAAAGTTGAGTGATTTCTTATAGTTATGGAGTTGATCACAATTAATGGAATGTCCAAAAATGGGATCATGGAATATGTATTAAAACACTTGTTTGGAATAGATAGAGGCAGAAGTCTGTATATCATATAAAACATAAAGTTAGGAACACTATCTCTCTACAGATGCCCTTTCTTATATTGGTTAAGTATTATTGTTACAGATATAAGTAAAATTTTTGCCACCCAGGACAAACTTAGCCAAAAACAAAACAAAACAAACATCAGGGTAAGCAATATGTAAAGTACACAGACAACATTTTAAAGAAAATTTCCACTAGGGTGGAAGCTGGAAAAAAAAGACTGGGATACAGCAAGGAGCTGCTACCAGGGGTGGGGAATCTGCAGCCTCAAGGCCACGTGTGACCCTCTAGGTCCTCAAGTGCAGCCCTTTGACTGAATCCAGACTTCACAGAAAGGGGATTTGTGGGCTCGAGCCTGCAAGTTCCCCACTTCCAGAAGGGAAAAGAGCTTACACTGGGTTCGACAGCTGAAGGGATGAAGAAGGCATCTTCCGGAAGTTTCCTTTTTTGAACTAAACTAATCTTAAACTAAATTAATCAGTTTTTGTACCTGCTGAAAGATCATGAAGTACTGTCTGTGGGCTAAAATGTTAACATGCTGGAGTAAAGACCTAGTTGTCCTGCCTTAGTTATGGCTGTGATGAACGTGTTTTATATTCTTGGACTTCAAACATTGAATCTTTGAGAGTTGCCATTATAATCCCTTTTAATATGATACAAGTAGCATAGGCCACTTGTTACACTTAAAAATGATTAAGTGTGTATCGATTTCTTTTCTGAGATATGCCACAAGGACTGACAAAGTAGAGAAGATGTAAACTCCTCTTTGACCGCTAATGAAGATGGTGCCCAACACTATACATCGAATATAATTAAAAAGCTTTCTGACAACATTATCAGTATGTTTTTAAAGGGCACTAAATGACAAGATCCAATCAACTCCATGAAGGATTCAGAAAGGCTGTGGCCATAATATTCAGCTTTCCAAAGGAAAGGTGTGATGGACAAAAAAGACATTCTGTAAAGTGATATCCTCCTTGAATTCTACTCCCCAAAATGAACTTAATAATATTCCTCTTTTTTGAGTATATGGTTTAGAAAAAGAAACTATAAGATAATATCAAATAGCTATGTTAGTGATATTAAAATATTCAAAATATTTCCTTTGTAAACTACTAATTTCTTATATTTAACCATCTCTGGATGTAAGGAGAAAGGCCTTTATCACGTATAATAGATCTCTTGGGCAGATTATCAAGATAACAATAATAATAAAAATAATGATAATAATGACCAGACTGCTGATTTCTTTAGTATAGAGAACTCCCAAAGAACCAATTCTCTGTACTAATGTTGGTCATCATCTTCTCTGCAATTTATAGCCAAAGAAAGTTGCTTGGAGCACAGCATTAAACTCTTAGACAGGCCTAAGCATCCCATAAAACTCTGAAGTGTGGTGAATTGGATTAAAATATAATTGGGAAATGTTTAACAAAAATAAATAAATAAAATACTACATAGAAAACCACAAACTCACATTCTCTAAGTCAATAAGAGGTCAGTAGTGATCCACTTCTATTTGAATTTAACATATTACATATTGGCTTAGAGGTTAAGTAATTAAATGACTTGCCCAAGATCAATTAAACAGTGTGTGTGTGTGTGTGTGTGTGTGTGTGTGTCCAGGACTTTTTGATTCCAAGTCCAGTACCCTATCTACAGCACCACTTAACTGCCTCTAGTCTATGAAAGGTCCTGTATTGGGTGCTGATACAAAGGTGAAATTCCCTCAATGCATTTTAACTCCGTTGGACCTATAGAAGGATACGGACAAATATAGCGCTGAATGAGAAGACATGCATGACCTGCAATCTTCATCATTTGGAGGGAATAACAGGGGTGTACTGAATCAGTGCCTCTTGAGAGTTGATTACTCATTTACATCTCAAGATTCAGCAAATGCTACAAATCATATCATTTTGTTGATTGTCAAGACTTAAAGTGATGGAGAAAATGTTAATAGTGCACATTAAACTTAAATGTTTAATCCCCCCCACCCTGGGGAGCCAGTGATTAAACATTTACCAACATGCCCCTGCAATAACCAGATCAATGAGATCACAAATCCAGTAGAATAATTTGATAATGAATAGCCTTTCATAAATCTCTATCTGACTCCTTGAAAGTCTTTATGGCTCTTGATGATTCTAAGAATTTTCTTTTCCGACTTGTCACAGAAGATATCTGGAAGGAAGCTGTCTAAATTTTCAGCCCCTCAAGCCAACAGGTGTGGTCAGTAGAAATCAAACCACAAGTCTACTAAGAGCTTCCTTCTTCAGGGAAAATAGCCTTGTACTGATTTTTTTTTCTTTCACAGCTAAAGGAAATCCATTGGGCATGCATTTGTCATGAAGAGTTAAGCCCTGGATTCAAGGAGGCTCCCATCATCAGTGTCATCATTGAATTGTCCCAAGTGGACAGCTATGCCTTGGGGAGAAAGATTTATGTAAAACCATTAAAATGACTGAGGTTACCTTGAAAGGACGATGCATATCTGGTCGTTTGTATCGGAGATAAATCAGCCCTGCAACTGCTAGTCCAATAAAAAGCCACCTGGCAAAACTGAGGAAATTCAGAAGACCATAAAGATCACCGAAGAAAAGCATTATCATCGTCAAAGGGTACTGTGGGTGGGGGAAAAAAAAAAGAGAAAAAAGATCCCAACTGAGTCTAGCAAAATGTAACACGCAAATAACAAGAGCACTATAGAGCATCAGCCTCTAATTAGATTTCAAATGGCCTCTTAGACCAGTAAGCCACCAACGTGTTGTGAGAAACTAGATTAACAGCAGCATTTGGCAATATGACAAAAAGCAGGATCATCATTTTTACCCCACCCACCTGCCAACAGAATGACTAACCATTAATGGTTAGTTAACCAATGTTATTAACCAATGAATGGGGCTGATCTACTTTAATGTGAGCATCTGTTTGTGGCCTTGTTTCTTTCATCTTAGAACAAAAGAGAATATTCTTACACCAAGTCAAAGAAATTAAACTTTGGAGACAGAGTATCTGAATTCTTATCATATCTAGGACACTTGTTACAGTTGAAAATGGTTAACTTGGCATTGATTTTCTTTTTTAAGATCATAGTAACTTGAGTGCCCTTGGGCTAATTATTTGATTTCTCTGGTTGCCTGTTTCCTATGCTCTGTCAAAGGGAGGGCTTGGATTAGATGACCTTTATGTCCCCTTAAAGTTCAAAATTCAATTCAATTCAATAAGCATTTATAAGACACCTACTACAAGCTGGGAAGTGTGCTAAGCATTAGGGATACAAAGACGAAAATAAAACCATTCCTGGCCTCAAAAAACTTACATTCTATTTGTATATTTTTTTTCATTCTATACAGAATAACAAATAAAATAACTATAATTTCAAGGATTGGGGAAGCACCAAGAACTAGCAGAATCAGGAAAAGTTTCTTGTAAGTGATGCCTATTGAATTGAGTTTGGAAGAAGGTGAGGGTTTCCAAGAGGCTGAGGTGAGGAGGGAAAGCAATCTAGGCATGGGAAAGAACCCTGTGCAAAGATAGAAAGGAGGGAAATAGAATGCCATTAATGGACAAGTAGACAAGTTTGGGTCAAATGGAGACTATGAGAAGAAGCAATATATAATCTGTCTGAAAACATAAGTTAATGTCAGACTGTGAAGAACTTTTAACTGTCAAACAGGGGAGTTTGTTTTTCAGACCGTCTAAGAGCAGTAGGGAATCGCTGACACTTCTTGAACAGGGCTTGACGTGGTCCAATCATAAGTTTAGGTATAACAATTTGCAATTAAGTGGAGGATTGGTGTGGGAGGAGGGGTTGCAGGCAAACCAACTAGAAGCCTATTAAAATAATGCAGGCAAGAGATAAATCTATGGTGCTATAAGCCTGTTTCTTTGTTTTTTTGTTGTTGTTTTTTTGAAGCATGGCTGTATGGGAGGTAATAACTGCTAATAATGTCATAAGGCATTTTGAAAACCAATGGCTCTTCCTCTATTAAATGCTGCCCAATAAATTCCTTGAGATACACACCTGAGATGTGGGCATCTCTAAATAATGGTACCTTTGCTCCTGAATACAAACCACTGACCTTTCTTTCCCTCCAAAGTCATTCTAACTATATGCCTGCCTTGTCTGACTGTCAAGACAGTAGAAAATAAGGAAGAAGCCGAGATCAGCACAAAGTGTCTCTGCAGCTGCGCATACCAAGGACGACCTGAGTGACAGTCTGGGCTTTAAATGAAAGCCCTCTTCACAGAATAAATAATACGTTCTGTTCTCACAAGGGAAGCTTACAGAGAACATTTACTTTAGAAAGAATTTTCAGGGAAACATTTTGAAACAAATTAAATGCATTTAAAAAAAAACATCCAATGCCTTATCTGGTGCACCTCACAAGGGACGGAAGTGTTGCAAAATAGTAAGTAAGATGTTACATCACATCAGCAATGGACGTCAGGAGCATTTTCCATTCTATTATGCCCAATTTTTCCAAAATGTATCTCCCTAAATGAAAAATGTTGCAACCTTAATTTCCATTTTAGTATGTATATGTGCTTCCTTTCAGGTACTCTCACCAACTGTCTCACTTTTAATCACAGAATCATTCCCACAGCCCAAGTCGTCCTCCATTATCTTTGTGCGTAATTGTCTATGCTTTTCATTATAAGGTGTCTATGATGAGCCTCGGTGTTCTCAGTCTACAGCACTGAGCTTCACTTTCAATTAAGTGAATCTGAGCATCATTACTCAGACAGCCTTTTCTACAAGTCTTTGAGTCAGTGACAGGGGTCAAGCTAATCATTTCCCTTCAAACCTTCAAACTCTTAGGAAAATCATAATGAGATGGGCTTTAGTTACCTGTCTGAGAGAGTTAAATATGACTAGGAAGAAAGATGGAGCAAAGAGAGGGAATGTACTAAAGTAAAAAGAGTACTCAGAAGATTTGGGTTCAAATCCCACTGCTAATACTTACTACCTTTGTGACCTTTGAAAACACACATAACATCCTGGGTCTCAGTTCTTTCATCTATGAAATGAGAGGGTTGCAGGAGACAGCTTCTGAAGTCTTTTTCAGTTCTAGAACTATAATCCTAATGTTGTGTAGTGGAGAGTGCTGGACCTGAGCATTAGGAACTGGTTTGTATCCTTTCTCCAATATTTAATTAGTTGTATGAACAAAGGAAAGTTACTTAAACTTTCTGGCCCCTCAGTTTCCTCATCAGTAAAATGGGACTAATAACATTTGCAATATCTATCTCATAGGTTTGATGTGAGACTCAAAAGAGTTTATGTTTATAAAGACCCTCACAAACCTTAGCATATAATATAAATGTCAGTAATGAAAAAGGAATCTATATGGACTGAGCCCTATTCATGCAAGTATCACCCTACCCCTTACATGCTTCAGCAAGAAGAGAGAAGAAAGCAGCCCCTGAGAAGTTTTCTTTGAACTCATCTTTGCAAGCCTGTTATCCCCAGTTACATGGAGAAACACTTGTTAATATGCATTACCAATACAATGACAGCTGGCAGAGGAGTGTACTTGCGGACATGAATCATGGAGAGGATTTCTGGAAGGTGACCCTCACGGGAAGCAACATAAAACAACCTGATGGGAGAAAAATGTGGATTAACTTTACAAATGTTCATTCCACAAAGGAAAACTTGAGAAAATCAGAAGCTTGTCATATGGAATAGATTCTCTTCTCCCGAGGTAAATTTTTGCATTTCTCCTTTGAGGCAGGACTACGTAAACAGTGAAAGAAATTGAATTTAGAAGTATACAAAATTTGCCAACCCTATACTATTGTTCATTAAGTAGATTAAATAGCCATGTCTCATTTACTGTTACTTCCTGTGTTAAAAAAAAATCAATGGTAAATAATATCGACAATGGAAAAGCTGACTGTTCTAATTATTCCAAGTTTAAAAGAAGAAAAACAGCATGACATTGGGGGTTGGAGTGCCAGCTTTGGAGTCAGGAAAACCTAGGTTCAAACCTTGGATCTGCCTCTCCCACATACTAGCTGCACAGCCCTACATAAGTCCTTTAACCTTCAATGCCCCCTATTTAAGGCTTGAATTAGAGAGGCCTCATTGATCTGCATTGGTAAAGGGCCTTTTTCATACCAGTGAAAGCATTGATAAAAATGAGCCTGGAAACAACAGAGAGTGATAACGATAATTTTTGTGGTAATAATAATAATAATGATAAAAATGAAACCAAAAGGCCCTTTGAAAGATAATGTAGGGCTTTGATCTCTCTGTCTTTCTCTGTCTCTGTCACATCTGTCTGTCTCTGTCTCTGTCTCTCTGTCTCTCTGTCTCTCTCTCTCTCGCTCTTCTCCAAATAGAGATTGGACTTAAAGAACTTCCTCTATCAATTCAAATTGACATCTCGGAAACCTACTGTTTTAGTGAGCTGTTTAGAATGTTTGGAAGTAACTTGTCCAGAGTCACATGGGGATCATGTGTCTGAGGCAAGATTTGATTCCAGATCCCTAGCTTTAAAAAAAAATGCCAACTCCCTATCTACTATGCTTCTCCATCTATATCTATTATCTAAATATCTTATCTATCTGTCTGTCTAGCTAATTAGATAGTAATTTCTAGTGGTGCTTTCTAGGTGCAAGAGACCATCACAGCCATAAAATAAACCTATGCTATTGCACCTGCTATTCTTACTGCAAAAAGATACTAATGCTCACTCACCTCAAAAGGGATTATCATCAAGTTAAGGGTAATGTCTCAAGAAAAAAGCACACCTGTGGTTTACAATAAAGGAAGGATGTCTCAATGTCTCTTTCCCCATTTGGGAACTCCATAAAATCATAGGATCTAGAACTAGACGGAACCTTAGAGATTATCTAATGGTACTATTCTAGCACAACCCCTCATTCCACTTCTACAAGCATTCTTTTGGTTAGTTGGCCCAGCACAACCAAAGAGCTGTCATCTTTTGATTAGATGCCCATTTATTCACTCACCTGGAGACAGCAAAAACGCCTCCGTTCATGGAACCAAAACAGGAAAGGGCAACAAAGACTGGAACAGCTACTGAGAATTTTCCCAAAAGCCTTTCTGCAAAGGTCTAGAGAAAGACACAATAAAGGAGATATTCAAACTTTGTCATAAAGTGGAAGAAAAATGAAGCACTTTCTGAAGAATAAAATAGATTTCTTAGTAATAATTCTTGATTGCATAAGGCAGAAAATTATTCTTATAAAGTGGACCACAATGGATTGATTACCCTTTTTAGGCTCAGTTGGTCATACATGAATACATTTAATGTGGACAGGGAGGAAAGGAGTAGAAGAAAAATGAGAGGAAGGAATCACTCTATCTTTCAGCAGCCCATAGGTAAGAGAAAGGAATAGCAGGATCAGGAAGATAAGAAAGCAAGTGATCATTCACCAAACATTTATTAGCTCTAACTTATATACCAAGCATTGTGCTAAGAGCTGGGGACACCCCACCAAAAAAAGGCAAAACTGTTATCCCTGCCCTGAAGGAGCTTAAGTTCTAACAGAGAAGACAATATGCAATCCATTACATATATTTATCTATATCTATGTAGATATTGATAGATGTCTAATTATATACAGAAATATATTTTGTGTGCAGGGAAGGAGAGCATTTTAGGCATTGGAGACAGCCAGAGAGAAAAGTCAGGAGATAGTACTGTGTGCAAGGAATAGCCAGAAAATGAGTGTCGGTGGTTGTAAACTACATGAAGAGAAGTAAAGTAAGTGAAGGAGACTAGAAAGATAGGAAGGGGTCAGGTTGTAAACAAAGGGTTTTGTATCAGATCCTGGAGGTAATAGGGAGTCACTGAAGTTTATTGAGTAGAAAGGTGACATGTAGGACAGGTCTGACCCGTGCTTTAGTAAAAATCATTTGAGCAGTTGAGTGGGGGATGGATGGGAGTAAGGAGAAACTTGAGGCAGAGAGACTAACCATAAAACTAGTGTAGAAATCCAGAACTGAGGTGAAAAGAGCATGAATCAGGGTGGTCACCCATGTGAGTGAAGAGAAGCGGAAGTATAAAACAGATGTTGTAAAGGTAGAAATGACAAGACATAGTAACAGATCTTCTATGAGAGGTGAGTGTTAGTGAAGAAACAGTGATGATACATGTGTTGTAAGACAGAGTAACTAAGAGGATCGTGGTGCCTTCAACAGTAATTAGGAAGTTTGAAAGAAGGAAAGATTCAAGGGGAGAAGAGTTAAGAACAAAACTCCAGAGTCTGATACCCAGTCACTCTGGGTACAGGTTCAATTGTACATCTCCTCAATTCTCCTTAACAAGGTGGCCATTGCTATTTCCTTAAGACTTCTATCCATAGTAAACCACTTCGGAACAGGGAGATGCTAATCTCATTATTAAGTGAACAGAAAGTCACTTACTCCTTCTAGTTCACATGACATTTCAGAAACTAAATTTGTGGATTAAAAGGGGTCCTGCTCTTTGTTTATAATAGAAAACTGGAAATCCTATGACCCATTTGAGAACATTCCTATACATGCAGGAACTAGACAGGAGGGAAAGAGAAAGGTTGCCTATCACCCTCATCCCTATTCAAACAGTCAGACCTGTTTAAGCTACTGATCGCGACATATTAACCATGGGCAGAGCTGGGGACGTAATTTTAACACATCAGTTATCCGTATTATCAGTGGGGAGCTGGGGTTCATCCTAATGCTTCTTCTCACTGGTGGGATGATGATACCCATTGTTACATTACTAAGTATAAGAGGACCTCAGGATAACCAGTGAAACCTCCTCCTACCCATTCCAAATGCATTCTACTGCTTCTTACACTTAGACTCTAAGGATATAAGAACACATCTACAGAAAACTTACTTAGTCAACTCATCAAAAATTATACAATAAATCACACAGAAATTAGACAAAAGATAAATACCCAAAGAGTAAAAAAAAAATGAAACATAATGTTTAACATTATTCCTTCAGAATATGGACCATAGGATGCTTTCCTCAGTGGTATGAATGAATGAATGAATGAAGCACTTACTATGTGCAAAGCATTAAGCTATATGCTGGGCATACAAACATACACAAATATGAACATGTCTAGCATTGGTTGATTGCCTTTGATGTAGATAATACCTCATCATCTCAGTCCATATCAGGACAAAAAAAATGCTGAAGACCTTTAAATGTTAAAATCACATTGCTTACTTGAAATGAGTAAAATACACATATGATTTACTTGGTACAACTAGTTGCAGTGAGCAAAATCATTCTTAGTGTATTAAACTCCCACATGTGACCAAAAGAGATTAGGTAACTTATTCCTAATCAGTAGTGCTGGCTGGGTAGATACTCAGAGAGTAGTACTGTCTAAAGGACAATCAGTTGGGACTGGGGGTTCACAAACTAATCTGTTTCCCCATTGCCAAAGGATAGGAGCTAGATCTGTGATTTCATTGATATAGGAAATTCCCAGGCAAGGAAAATTCTTCTACCAATGGGGGTTGGACTTTATTTTCAACTTGTCATTTTAGAGAGTGGCCTAGAGCACTGAGAAATCAAGTGATATGGCCACAGTTACATAGCTATTATATATCAGAAGCATGAATTGCACACAAGTCTGCCTGGGTTGGGGTGCTCTCTCTCTCTCTTTCTCTCTCTCCCCCTCTCTCTCCCCCTCTGTCTGCCCCTCTGTCTCCACTATTCCAAGCTGCCTTTCACTTCTATGGGATTCCAACTAAATATTTTGGGTTTTTTCTTCTTCTAAAAAAATAGGACTAGTATTTTTTTTTCATAGACCAGGAGGTGAATATTTACAAGAAATCCTTCACAATACCTCTTAACTTCCCTATTTCCCCTCTTGATTATCTCTGGTTGATCCTGCTTCTATCTTATTTATACATAGTTGACTATGCACCCTTAGATTGTGAGCTCCTCAAGGGCATGGACTTGTTTTTGCCTTTTTTTTTTTAATATCCAGCACTTAGCACAGTGCCAGTTACAGAGAAGACCTGTTAATAAACACTTACTGACTGACTTTCTGAAAACAGTCAATTGCTATGTCTATAATTTGGTTAACTCCAAAATCCTAAAGGGGAACTTTGGGAAGAAGTTAGATTTGAGACATTCAGTTATTTAGATCCCATTAGCATTTTCCAACTGCAATGACTGCAATTTAAAATGAATTTGAACGCCAATGATACATTCTTGTTTGGATTTAATTGCTGTCCATATAGTCTCTGAGTACCCCAGCTATATTGCTTTAAAAAAAAATTGCCCCCTCCAAATATCCCCAACACTGAAAGTCATCCAAGTTCCACATGTGGGCCTATGTTAGCCATCAAAACACCGAATGTAGAAAATGCATTAAATGATCATTAACAATAGCACATGTTTTATAGAATTCTAGCTATATAAATTAAATGGGATATGCCAAGGAAAAGGATGCTATAAAAGTGATGCTGTTTATTTTAACACCCTTCCATAAACACTAATAGCCAGGATCTTTTTCACTTCCTTGTCCAGATGCCTACTATCAGAGCTTCAATAGCTGTTTGCCAGAAGAAACCATCATCACGTTGCAGCAGCTCCATAACCCATTTTGCATTTGCCTTTTCCCCAACTTGGACTTACCACTGCCACGGCTTTGGAAAGCAGCAGCTCTTCAGCACTGATGGTAGTGAAATAGGCCACGTTCGTTAGGACATAGCCAACAGTGACTATGACCATTGATATACATATTGCAAGAGGAACATTTCTGAAATAAAGAAAGAAGTTACTTATTAGCCATCTGTTATTTGTCATTCACTTTCTGAAACCAAGGCAGGTAATTATCTCCTTCAGAAGGATGACAGCTTAAAAAGTAACTCCTTCTTCATCTTATTTTCTTCCAGAATGATAGGTCCGTTTCTTGGCTTTTACACATTCATTAGGAAGAGGTACCATATGTTCAAACCTAAGTTCAACCTTGTAAAATAACCATACACACACACACACACACACACACACACACACATACACACACACTCAAAATTGGAATTAGCTTAAACACCACTGAAAACTCTTGAACCTTGACTGCTATAGAAGCTGATAAAAGTTTCAAAGCTTCATTAGTGTGCATTTCCCTTCCACACAAAGAATTCACAGTCCACCTCTCCTAGAAGGATGATGCCACTTTATCATTAAAAACAAACTTGGGGGCAGCTAGGTGGTGCAGTGGATAGAGCACCGGCCCTGAAGTCAGAAGGACCTGAGTTCAAATCCAGCCTCAGACCAAACACTTGACACTTACTAGCTGTGTGACCTTGGGCAAGTCACTTAACCCCAATTGCCTAAAAAAAAAAAAGTGACAATATGCAACAAATACTTAAGGCAGCACTTTTTTTTGTGGTAGTGAATGAAAAGACAAGAGAAGAGAAGAGAAGGGAAGGGGAAAGAAAGGAAATGAGAAGCCAGGAGAGGAGAAGAAAGGAGAGGAGAAGAGAAGAGAGGAGAAGTGAGGAGTAGAGATTAAAACTAGGAAAAAATGGTGTCCACCAATTTGGTGTTATATGAATAAAATGGCATATTATTATTTCATAAGAAATGAGTGTAAGAGAACTTAGCAAAGAATTGATACATAAGGAAAAATTAGAACAAGGGGAAAAATTAAGACAATAGTCTTAACAACAGCAGCCCTAGAAGATAACCTAACTCAGATTAATTACAATAAATTGGTCCCAAAGAGCAAGTGATAAAATAAATGTCCCATCTCTCAGGAGAAAGGTAGAGGAGTATGGGTGTAGAATGCTGCAAATATCATTAGATGCAGTTGTTTTGTTCCTCCATTTATTCAACTGGTTTTCTTTATTACGAGTGGGGGGGGAAGTTACATTTTTTTAAAAAATCATTCTGGCATTAAAAAAAAGAAGCATCAATACAATTTAAAAATAAATTAAAAATATAGCTGACAGCAATTTTTTTTTACAGAAGTACAACAGCCCAGAAGAATTCAGTAATGTCTGCACCCCCGTTGCTGTAAGTTCAGTAGGTCCAAGGTCCCAAGGTCCCAGGGAATTTATGAAACTGCAGCTGAGAATCCCATTCATTCACAGGTAGCCTGCTGTTAAATGCAGAGGCTGACTAGTGCTGACCTAATGTAGCATCAAGATGTACACAGAGCACAGGCACTGCTGTATCTTCATTCAATATGCTGAAAAAGCCAGGAAGCTGCTGACCCTTGTAATTTGATGCCATATTCCCTGTATACATTCCTCACTTAACATAATCACCTCCTCAGACTTTTTTTCCAGTTCACAAAACTTGGACCTTTATCTCCCTGCACAAAGGCTGCCTGTTTTATAACCATGGTGCTTACCAACCCCAAAGAACCTTGATACTGTTGGATGCTTCTAATGAAAACCTCAGTATAATTTCCTCCAAGATGAAAATTCAGTTCTGGACAAGAAGAAAAGACACTGTGTGCTTGGCCACTGACCTCTAGAACCTCCCTGGGTTTAGCACACAGAATCACTGCCCGTTATGTTGAGCAGTAGTCATATTGACCTCTGATAGCAGCAAGATTAAAACAAAACAAACAAACAAAAACTAGCTAGTCAGCAGTGACTGTTCATTATACAACTGAAGCCCAGAGCCATACCTGGAGTCAGGGAAACTAGGGCTTTGTCCTGGGGTATCAAAATGTAAAGGGTGCTGACAAGACAATCAAAAAGCAGGATTAAAACATCATGGTGTACTGGCACACTTTCTCCCAGGTGATGCACATCATAGAAATTCCTTCCTTATTTAACTCTGCCTTTCCCTACGTAGGACGGTGGCGGCCATAATGAAAATGGGCTACTGTTATCTCTTTCCTTCTCTTCCACACTTGCAGTGACTGTAAGAAATTGATCATTTCATCTCTCCTAAAAGACAAAATTTCATGATGCCCCCAATCTTGAAAGTTGACAGAGAGAAACATTGGCCTCCAAATTCGGAATCTCCTAATATGAAAATAGCTGATGATGCCCTCTCATAGGATTTTTTCACTATGGATTTTTTCATACCACTTCATGTACTGCTACTTGTACGACTGCCAAACAACACATGTAAATAGAAGAAAGCACTGGTTCCACAAAAGTGTGAGTGGCATAAAATAGTTTCACTATCAACTGTGATTCCCTACGATATATATAGAAAATAAGAAAAATAAGGTGGGTATATGGACAGTTATCCATCCAACCAACCAATGAATCAATCAATAAACACTTATTCAACACCTACTTGTGCCAAAGCCCTAGGGATACAAAAAGACAAAAATTAGCCCTAGCCCTCAAGGAGTTTACATTCTAATGGGAGAGATGAGATGACATGTAAATAAATGGGTACATTCAAGGTATAGACAGAGTAGATGGAAGTTGATTTAGAGAAGAAGGATCTAGAAACTGGAAGAACTAGGAAAAGTCTCCAGCAGGAGGCCCAGTGAACATCATAAACCTTTGTTACCAACTAGGCTTTTCCTCTGTGTTCTTTTAGTCTTTTCTGCTTAGTCATTCTATGCTATTGTCTCTTCATTTGAAAAAAAAAAGATTTTCTTAGTAGGCATTTGAAGGCTTCTGCAGATAATGTATTTAAATGAATGATGAATCCTCTTGAAGTTGTCCGATGCTTTATTGTCCTATGGAGGTGGCCCTTTACTCTTGACGGCTATGTCAATGAAGTACAAACTGACAAGTAATACTAAGTTAGAAGGGTTTTAAATATAAGCCTGGTTATGGTTATATGTTATTCAAGAATAATCTGAGCTAATTTGAGAGAAGAGTATTACTAGGCTTACTACAGAGTGATGAATTCTTTAGCCACTGTAAGTAAGCAATCATGAAGGATTTGCAATCTTCAATGTTGGAAGGTATGCCCACACCATGAAAGCATAAAGCTTTTAAGTAGTGAGGAACAGTGAAACTGGTTCTTAAATACAGAGATAGGTCCAATGTATTCCCATTGGGTGCTAATGGAAAGTAAGGGTGATAGAGGAATTAGAACTGGGGACCTCCTGACATAGAACCATGCCTGTTTATCCAATACTACCAGCAAAGTCAGCACTATCTGCCCTCCTTCTGTTTCCTTCCCTTTTCAAGAGATAAGGATCTTTTTCATCCTATCTTACTATTTAGTACTGGGCTCAAGAGACACTCTAGAGTAGAACTCAACTCCAGGAAACAACTCACTTTCTTTCTGCCTAGTTGTTAATGGGTTTGGGTCCCCCAGATTTACTTCCAGTGAAGTTAGTTCTTATAATTACATTCTGAACATAGATATTCTTAGTTATAACCCTGGTGGTTCCATATCAGTTTTAAAGCTCTCTACCAAGGGAAGGCTCCTATAAACTACCCTTTTGCTGGTTTGTTAGAAATTCTGTTATTGAGAAAAAAAAATCTTTTTATGATGGAACATGATGATGCAACTACTTTTACTCACTTGATTAAAAGTAATTTCATCCTGTTTTATAATGTTTGGAATATGATATGATTTTTTTTAAATAGAATTAGCTTAAAGGCTGTGGGAAACTATTAAACCTCAGATGCTATAGAAGATGACAATGGTCTCAAAGCATCATTGGTCCCTCCCACATCCAGAATGTATAATCCAATTCTTGTGGAAAGATGATGTCAGTATATATCTTACATCCAAAAAAAAAGTAACAATACGTAACAAAACATGCACAGCAGCACTTCTGGGAGGAGGAGGAGGAGGAGGAGGTGGAGAGAAAAGAAACTGGAAACAAAATGGGTGCTCATCAATTGGGGAACGTTTGAACAAATTGGAGTTTAAGAAGCATGCTGAGGGGCAGTTAGGTGGCAACACTTGACACTTACTAGCCGTGTGACCCTGGATAAGTCACTTAATTCAGAGTGTCTCACTAAAAAGCATGAAAAAAAAGAAGCATGCTGGTTAGAAAAGCTAACTGCAACCACATGCCAACTTCTCTTGGATAAAATAAAAACACTTGGAGAAACCAAGAGAATGAGTGAGAAAAAGTACAGGACAAGTAGAGTCAGTGTGGTCTCATATAGATATTCTGGACTAGGAGTTTGGAAACCTGTACCACTGCTGCTTACTTAAGCTTCCTTGACTTCTCTGGGCCTCAATTTTATATTTATATTTATCTGTAAACTGAGGAGTTGGAATAGATGATCTCCAAGGGTCCATCTAGCTTTATATATCTGTGTCTGTAGCGTTTAATCATAAGTTGTTTCCATTTGAATCAGGTGGAAAACAGACATAGAAAAGGTCCATTTTCCACTTTGATGTTAACAGTCAACACTGAGGAATATAATTTTAAGCACAGCAGTATAATTAATTAAAAGACTTTAATACTTAATGTGGCTTACCTCTGCATTTCAGGACTCAAATGGGCAAGAACAGATGGGCTAGCCCATAAAATCTTGCACCAAAGGGAATGATTAGCATAGGTTAACAACTTTAGATTAGAGGGAAATAATAAACATAGTCAAGGCAGCTTACAATATCTAGGAATTTTTTTCCTTTCATTCTTGCTTTCCGCTTACCTCCCATAAAGATTCTATAGCCTGTGTTTGCTAATATTTACACTAAGTGATTAATTTTCTCTAATGAACAATTAGAAGAGAGGGTGGAGCTAGTACATTATAGGTATTATGAACAGCCTGTGCAAAAGCATAGGAGTTGGGCGGTGAGGGGGAAAAGGTGTGTGTCATGACTATTTACATCAAATTTCTCTGAGAATGGCTTTCATTCTGA